AAACCAAGATTGTTGCAGTGGGAGTGGAAAGCAGGGGAGCAGCTCTGAAGTGTAGTAGTTAAGCTGTCTAATTTGGTTACTTTGAGCAGAGGACATGTGTCAGGTACTGAGACAGAAATTCAGTAGGCAGGACTCTGTCTGGACAAAACTAACTCAGATCTGAACTCACAGGAAATGAAATACTAGGAGAGAATGAGTGTATAAAAAGTGTTTCTATATAACTTACCTTATTTAAGTATCTCAAAAGCCCTTTGGCGTGACTATTATCTCCATTCAAGGACTAAACAGACTCTGTTCATAGGGGTTAAGTGACATTCAAAATTAGACAGGCAGCAAGAGACAGGACTAAAACTCAGATCTTCCGATCTGAAGTTGAATGTTTTCTTTTGTAATGCAGCAAAGCATAATTGATATATGTACCCTTGATACACACTAAAATGTTTATATTTAGCTCAGAGGATCAAAGGATCAATAAGAAATCCAGGAAATAAATTAGAAGAGTGAGACCTACATTGACACCTCAGCTCATGAGTAATGAGAAATATTATTAATGAAAACTTTGTTTGAATGGTGTTCATTGGACTGTCACATAAACATAATAATCGCTGGGGTTTATAGAGAGAGACAATGTGGCTATCAGGGATCTAGCCAGAAGTAAAGGCCTTCCTGCCCAGGCAAAGCAGTTGATTGTTTGATTCATTTCGATGCAAACACAAATACTGTACATCTGAAAAACACTAGCTATGTCAATATAATTTTAAATTGTCAAGCTCTTTTGGAATACACTCGTGGAGCGCATTAAATCGGCTATTTTGCTTTGGGAGATATAATTTTATGTTATACTGCTCGACTGAAATGCCATGCCGCATTTCTCAGCAGTCTTCATTGACTAATAATTCAATTATAAACACAATTCATTATTTTCATGTTAGATTAGAAAGCCTTTTGCACTGGCTTGAGCTATCTCCCCAGAGCAAACGGGGCCGTTTATAAAAGGCCAAACCACAAGGTGGGGCACTGAAAGGATGAAGCACCCCATAAAGTTTCACTGTAGTAAATGGGAACCTGCTTGACAGCAAGCGGCTTATCTGCGGCTCCGGGCAGCTAAACTGCCGAGATAAAGGGTGCATGGCGGCTGGGGGGGCTCACGTGGTCTCTTTTTCTCTACTTCTTCACTGTTTTGTAATTTATTGTCTTCGGAGCATTTCCTTTCCTTGATTTTCCCCCCCAGGAGCAGAGGTCGCTCTAATTCTCAGTCCTTCCTTGAGTCATTTCATGGATCCTGGGCCTGCTCTCTCCCGGGCTCAGCTGAAACTACAAGCTTCCATTTCTTTCCTTTTGTGTTGTGGGATCTTTATAAAGAAGCCTGGCAGGCATACACACGATACCCACCGATGGAAAGCATCAGAAACAAGCAGCTGAGAAGCACTCACCGATAAGGACATCTGCAATTATTGCCAATATTGATAAAATTCCTTCTAATCAATCGAGTGGTTTCCGTCTACATTTCAAATCACTGAACATTTATTCATCATTACGATACTTTACTGACATGCATGTAAAATGAAATTGCTCCTGTTTATACTCACTTGGCCTTGAATTTCAGATACTAAACCAAAGATATGTTCTTCCAAGTATCACAGTTCTAAGGCTTATCTGGTCCAGCAAACCCTGACAAAGTTAATTTACTATCAAGGCCTGATGCCGCAATATTTCTATTTCATTCTAAATTCATTCAGTTCATTTTCTTAATTTTTAACATGTTCCCGATCTTAGGAGTACATAAAACCATGTAAAAGCATCTCTGGTTTGATTTTGATAACTACATCACAGTTTTGTTTTGTTTTGTCTAGAATGTGGACTTTTTGAAAGCAGTATAGGCTATTAAATAGCTTCAATACTTTGTAAAAAGAAAAGTTAATTTTTTTAATATTTTAATGTTATTATAACTAAGAAAAATTGACTAACAGAAAAGCTAATCAAACTGCTAATTTAAAAAGGCATTAATCATCTAATGCCAGTGGGTTATTTTTGTTTCTCAAGTTATCTGTTTTTTCTTAAAAAAAAACCACAGTAAATATACGAAACAGAATCAAAACTATCTGTCAGTACTTTTTAAAACATTTATCTTGTCCTTTCTTTTATAAGCAGTCACTGTGTTTCACCATTTTTTCAATTTTCCCCTCGGTTCACTCAGCACTGTCTAAGGATTGCCATGCCCTCCCCTCAACTGATTTCCACAATGTCCTCCCCGAAGAAAAGGAGTCAGGGTTCAGTGACAAGGTGCCTCAAAGCAGTTCTCTCCTTAATAATACAGCCAGAGTGACAGTGGGATGATGTACTAAAAAGAGTACTACCCTGGGACCCTTAAAATCTGGCTCCAGCCCCTAGTAAGCCTAATAAATTTGGCCTTAGTGTCTTCATTTATAAAGTAAAAAGTTTCATATTATTGCCAGCACACCCAAATCTATAAAATACTAAGTATAAAAAAAGAACTACCTTAAAGACAGCTCATTAACAAAGTAAATTAGATCAATGTTGATGCAATACAATAAAACCGAAAATTGGTTCAAGGAACAATTTCTTCACTTTCAGAATCAGATGTTCTTAATCAGCCACTTTTAGTATTTCAGCACTTTCTTGAACCTCTTTACTTGGTAATTATTAGAATACTTTGAAAATAAATTTGACAAAGTCATGCAATATTTTTATGTTAAAATATAATTTCTGTTATTTTTAAAACCAAGTTAGAGTCTCCCAAGAGCTAAAGTAACTCTAGCTGTTTCTCCTTTGGACCTTTTAGCCTTTGGCACAGCATGGAGGGAACTAGAGAGTATTATGCTGAGTGAAATAAGCCAGTCAGAGAAAGACAAGTACCACATGATCTCACTTATATGTAGAATATAATAAACAAAATAAACATGAATAAAGTGGATCCAGAAACATAGAAGCTTGGAACAGACTGAGGGATCTCAGAGGGAAGGCCGGGAGAGGGGTGCGGGTGGGGAGAGGTTAATCAGGGAACTTGTATGTTTATAAGCATGACCCATGGACACGGACATTGGTGAGGGGAAAGCCTGGGGGTGGGATGGATGCGGGGTGGAGGGGGTCAGTGGGATTAAAAGGGGGACATCTGTAATGGTCTCAACAATAAAGAAACATTTAAAAAAAAAAGAATACCTGGGTATGGATTCTGGCTGTACCGCTTAGAAGTGTGTGACTGCAGAGAAGCTACTTCAACTTTCTGTGCCTTGGTTTCCTCATTTGTAAAATGAGGGTAATAAATACCTAATTTATGACTTATTATGAGGAAACACAGATAGAGTTCTTACTACTACAGAGATTGGCACATAGTAGCATTGAATAAATTTTGTTATTGCTATAAAAAAAAGAAAACTAAATTGTGTGTTTGAATTTATTTTCTATAGTAAGAATGGTCTGAAAGAATCACCACAGCTTTCAGAGCAGCCTGATTTGCACCAATAAAACTCTCTAACTTTTCTTATATTTAGCTGCTCTATATTAATATATACTTATTAAAATTATATTCTATATTATTGATATGACAGATATATCATATTTGCATTTTGATTTTCCTGTTTAAAGATGCTATCCTCACGGGGGTGGGAGGGTTGGAGACTGGATGAAAGAAGGTGAAGGCATTAGCCAAAGAACATATATGCGTGACACATAGACTCAAACAGTGTGGTGATGGCCAGAAGGAAGGGGGGTGGGAGCTGGGCAGAGGTGAGCAAAGCAGTGGAAAATGCGGACATTTATAATAGTGTGAACAATAAAAATAAACTTAAAAAAAATAAATAAAATATAAAGAATCATGATCTTTGTTAATTGCAATACTTTTATTTTTAAAATCCTTTCATCAGAGGATATTTTTTCTATTGCTTTTCAGACAGAGTGGAAGGAAGAGAGAGAGAGAAACATCTATGTGAGAGAAACGCAACGACTGGTTGCCTCCTGCACTCGGCCCTGGGGCCGGGGATCGAACCCAGACCTGAGGCACCTGCCCTTGGCCAGAATCAAACCTGGGACCTTTCAGTCTGAGGGCCGATGCTCTAACCACTGAGCAAGCCGGCTAGGGCTATTAACTATAATACTTGAGTAGGTTCCTCCTATCAGACTATGAGACAGAATAAGTACTTGATGAACTCTCTTCTAAACTAAGCTATTTCTAGGAAATTAGGAAAACTCTGAACCATCCTTCAGAAATCTTTACTGATCTAGATTCCTCAAAACTTCCAAATAAAACTGGGAAAACAGCTTTGGTTCATAAGGAATGCTCCTGATTCTTATAATTTACATATACAAGCACGGTGCAGAGTGGGCTGCAGAGGCTTAAAAACTGGAAGTAATTTTAAGGAAAATATATGACAATTGAACTTAATATGGCATAATAGATTATTATTATTGTTAGCATTGGAAAAGGAATTCTGATCATCCTTAAATAATTGAAAGGGGTATCTCTGATCAATTTCCTCAGAAATACTCCTTTAAAATTCATTGAACCCATGCTTTTTTTTATAGCAATTTAAGACTTCTTTTTCCCTTCCCAAATTAACATTTGTACAGGAGGAAACTAACAACTAAGTCAAGATTCAATTTTGTTATACATTACAAGTAAGGCATAATAAAGCAATCTTTTTCCCTAAAAATAATAAACTGTACTTCATTGTTGTTAACAAGTTGGAGAATAAAATATGTTTTAAATATGGGAATTAATTTATTAATAATAAATTTTATGTAATAAAGACAAACTATATAATACATGCATGCTTGTCTAGCAAAAAAAAAAAAATAGGAACACTTTATTGATGAAATGGGCTAATACAAAATATAAAAATTGCCCTTGCTTTTGGAACTGAGATTATAAATTTTTTTCATAGTCAACTAAGGTGTAATTAACATTTAAGTGCAAAGGTTATTTGACATTTAAACACAAAGGTTTCTCCATGAGTTACTTTGGATTTATAGGACCCTCTTACCAGCATTTCTCTTGAAGCTGTGTTTTATGAAGGGTGAGATGTTCAAGCACCTTCTTCAACTGAGGACTGTTTTTCTGAACACAAGTCCAGGCAGCAACACAGTGCCAGAGGAGGTTGTTAACTTCGTATCCTTCCTGAGTGAATTGCAAATGTTCCTAGAATTAAAATACAAAAATATACTGAAAAAGAGTTCTTTGACTTGAATAAACATAAAATAAATTTTAAGTATACAAGTGAGAATGCATATTTCCTTACACTTTATGTTTCACCAAATGGAGTAATTTTGCAAGTTAACCTGAATTTAAGGTCTTAATATATATTCACATGGAACCCTGGTGTTCAAAGACATCAGGTCTACAGTATGACAAAAATCCTATATTCTTTAAGGAACAACTATCAGACAGTTGTGCTTCTTAGACTCTCTGAGACTTAGCTATCCATGACACCCAAGGAGGAGGGGACAGGGGAAAGTTTGAACAATAACCAATCAACAAATTAGGTTTTAAAATGTGAATTTCCACCTTACAGACCAAAATATATGCCTAGCTGGACATAGTCAATGCCTGCGAAGTAATTTAAAAGCCTAAAATTTCAGAATACAAATGAGCTGTTATTAGTTTCTAACAGTTTTATATAATGAATTGTTCTATTAAAGTAATTGGTATAAAGAAAACTGATTCTATTTTTAGACAATGATAACATAGCGCACTCATTGAATTTTTGTCAACAGTACATATTCAAATACACATCCTGTGATATATACTCAAATTGCTAACATAGCTGATATTTTACTCTCATCTCAAAGGAAACAGCTAAAGAGACTCCAAAGGACTTCACAAATTTCATTTGTCATATAAACATCAATACTACAATGTAAAGAAAGTTTTCATGCTGCCTTCTCTAAAGGTAGAAGGCCAGAAGCTCACACATTAATTTCAAGCTAAGATGTAAAGTTCTATTAAGCTGTTAGTGAAGTGAAGTCCCGCAGATGTGTACTGATCAGCTTCGTGTCAGGAGCTCAACCAGTAGAGATGAAGACAGGAGTAAGATCAAGTCTTTGCACAGGGCTACTGACTCTGGAGAGCGATCACTCAGAGAAGCGAATGGAAACAAGTCATTGTTTAGAATGTTAGAATATTCTATAGAAAAGCTTTATTTCAAAATAATGTAAGACATCAGACTGAGACATACTGACTTCAGTAAATGCATGTATTTTATCCAAGTAACTCAATTTTCTGCTTAGCAGTTGAGCCCACCCAAAAAATGGAACCTATAACAATGAAATTCTCTTCTCAAATTGCTCCAAATGTCTCAGCCAGCCTCCTGTTACAAACTTATTCAAAATAAATATGTAAGTAGATATATTATGAAACTTGTGGTTGGCTTAACTAACTAATTTAAAACAACTGGCACTGCTGTGTTTTTCATAATGTGCACTGCATGGCTACATAGACTCTGCAGTTAGGTTCAAAGTTCTTGTTAAAAAACTTATGCACCGTCACCAGAGGAAATTCCCAAAAGCATTTGGTAAACAGAAGATCAGGATTTGGGACAATGAACAAGATTTAAGTTTTATTTTCAGTTTTATATGATACCATTTTTGCCCATCATTGAGAAAGAATAAAAGCAGCCTCTGATGTCTGGAACTGATTTGACATCAGTATTATTACAAGATGCTCTGATACAACCAGGTCTTTTTGTTCTCCTGTTGGGTATAAACTCACACAGAATATCAACCTCAGACAACAATACTCTGAGACCATGATAAATAAAGCTACTTGACAGAGTTGTCCTAAGCACAGACAAAACATCACTGTGCCACCTACAAAATACCCAATCAGAATTGTCCCTATTTTCTGGCAGCATCACATTTTATACCCTTCCCAAATCACCCAAATAAAATCCAAATCCTGTAATAGATTCATTCTAACACCCTCTTACTAAGATATCCTATGGTTCCTTGGGCATGTGTTCTCTCTCTGCAACAAATAATAAACACACTTTGCTTAAATGCACATGTGGTCCTGGTGGTCTCTGGCTGAAGGGCATTGGCATCACCAAGAGGAAATGATGAATTTGCTAAACCTGTGAATTTTCCAGATAAGTGAGGTTGATTTATCCTCATGCATTTTATATATTTTAAGTATTTGCATGGAAATCTGGCTAAAGTTTCTTCCCTGCTTTTTTTTCCCCCAAAAGAAAAAACATATTTGCCAAACTTGAATAAATGAATATAAAAATGATGATTATGGGATTTAATGCAATAATCATGTTCATCACCAGCATAACAGACCAAAGTTATTAGGTGGTGTAGAGTTCTTTGCTCTTACACTAAATCAGTCCCACTCAAGGTGTAGTTAGCAGATAAGTGCCATCTGCAAACTGTTAACTAGAGTACAGAAATAAAGAACATACACTGAGAAACTTTTATAACAAGTTGACAGAGTTAATTTTATATTTTTTGTCTAATAACAAAAATAATGCTTGCACGTTTATGTATTTTTATTTTCGGTAGTTCATTATTATTGTAGTTTACAAAGCTATCAGTCTATGGCAGTTTGGAAACTAAAAAAAAAAAAGAAGTTAAAAGGGATCTTTTACCCCAGATAGTATGAAAAGCATTGAATACTCCTTCCCTTTTCCTCCCTCCCTCCCTCCCTCTCTCCCTTCTTTCCTTCCTCCTTCCTCCCTGTTTTTTGGCTTTATGGCCACTTCCTATAGTTCCTTCGTCTCCCCCCACTTGCTGTCCTGCCCAGCTTTGGGCTATGCTGGTTTGCAGACTGGCCCCCGGGCATGGAGGGCAGGAGAGACCTAAGAAAGAAGCAGACCACTCCAGGTTGGAGGTGGCAGGTTTACTAAGCAAGGCAACTTCACGGCTTTGTCTTGAAGGGCCACAAGAAGAGTAGATCTCCACACCCACCCACCAGATTCCTAAAGTTTATATAGGGACTTAAACTGGGCCCCATCACTTATACCATCCAAATGGCCTCAACAACACATTGCTTTATCAAGGCCACATCCTTGAAAATGGTTCCCACTGTGGGAATGGTGAGCAGATTGTGCATTCCAAGGACAGGGGAGCCGGAGAGGAGCTCTGAGTGTCCAGGGCTAGCTTGAGGGTTAACTGGAGGCCAAGTCCTGTAGATTGCCTCCTCCAACAGGCTATCAGCGTCAGCTTGTACAATGTCTTCTCTAGGATGTCCCCCTAAAAATGTGTTGTTGATCTTTTGTTGGCTGAAAATTCAGGTGAGCACATCAGCTTGAATTTTTTGCAAATTTGAGCAGACAAGCTCTGCGTGTTTGCCCGAGCTTTCCTTTATAACAGGAATGAGCTTGAAAACTTGGGCTCAATTCTGGCTGCTCAGAGACAGCTTTTTGAGTTTCATCTTTGTTTTCAGTCATTGTGGGGATGGTTGATTGACATTGCCCTGAAGAGACCTCTCAATACAAATGTGTTGCTTGGATAATAGGACATGAATCATAGGATAATGTTCCTAATTTTAAAGAACCTGTGTCTCAGGCTAACCCGATTCCTACTAACCATTTCCAATTACAGCACAGCACAAAATGTCCCAAATTTAGATAATGTCTTTGGCATACCAAGTACTTAGAGCATTAGAGGTTGAAACTGCTAATCACATTTTAATGTAAACTCTGTGTGTTTCCTAGTTTTCAGAAAACTATTTGTACTTTAGGACAGCTGCAACTATTCTGTGAAGAGTCTATAGCATTTTAGTGGAGATTGAATCTACCTTCTCCAAAGAGCTATGTTATTATCATGTGACAACTAGCAAATCCAGCTTTGCTAGTGAGCAAAGGACAGAGTGAAAACTCAATCCAATGGTCTGGCTCTGCAATCTGCAGAGCTAATTAAAGTATGTCATTTGTCAAAGTCAGTGGAAACCCTGTGTCTGGATCAGCTTAAAAGGACATTAAAAGGAGAAATGGGTTCCAGCAACAGGGAAAGGAAATGTCCTATTCTTAAATAGAACCAACACTTAATTTGTAAGTATCCTAATGTGCATGTCCTACAGAATTCTCCCCCCAGCCACACTTTGAAAACAAAGTAAATAATTATGCTTATACTCCAATGCTTACAAATACATTAAAAGTAAAATATATTACAGTGGCCAAAATATGCTCTCATGGACCTTTTAGCGTTATGAAAAGGTAAGAGCTGTAGAAATAAATCCACAAATCCTCTACTATAGCATCATAATAAAGAAGGGAGAGAGAATGAGTACAAATGTACCTTTTATATTCCCCTATTGAATGAATAAATACTCAGCTGAACTGGAGAGGCTGGCTTAGATTAATACTGGAGAAAATGGGCCAAAACTGGGGCACAACATTAAATGTGCAATCAAGCACCGAATCACTTAGCTCAACCAGCAAAGTTGGCAGCAATGTGGCCACGCTCCCGCTTATGTTCTTTATATTATGAGGTAATGGGAGAACAAGAACTCTGATCGTCTAAAATCCGTTCTAATCCTTTCACAGAATTACACCTAGAGAGCTGCCACAGAGCTTAGAAAAGACTGGAACTATGCCCTTAGTTCCAAAATGTTGAAAAAGACAGAGACTTAGGGACTGGCCTCACTCAGAGGAGATACATTCCTCTCACGTGTTGACATTTTTGCCCTTCCAGTTCAAGCCAAGCTCTGCGGCAGTCAGCTTCCATTTCCTTGCTGTGTATGTGCACCAAAAGTGACAAAAACAGATTGGTTCTCACAGAGAAGCAGTATCAACACTGAAGGTCGCCTGCCTCATAACCAGAACACTCGTGTCAGGACAATTTTGCAGTATCCTCTGTGTTTAAAGGGAAAACACTCAAATCACTACATTGAGTTAAGCACAATTAACTACATAGCTAAGCACAACCATTTAGTCAGCACAATCATGTCCTTAGATGAAAATTATATTTAACTGCCTAAGTTAAAGTGAGTTCCTAAATATATTTTTCACTAATTGTTATTTACATTTGCATGGCACTTAATAATTTACAAGGCACATGCTTTTTGCAATCTCCACAACAGTCCTATAGCTTAGTTAGGGCAAATATAATGAAGATGAAGATGATGATGATGATGACAACGACAGCGACAGTGATGGTAATGTCTCTTTTGGTGGGCAAGGTCAGTAATAAAAATCAACTTTACTTCATAAGTAACGTCTCAAAAGTAAAGGTTATATTAAGCAACTCAGAGAAGATTAAGAATACTGCATACATCATTTTTTAAGTACAGTTGATATACAATATTATATTAGTTATGTTAGTTTCAGGTATACATACAGTGATTCAACATTTTTATACTTTCCAATGTGAGGTGACGCCTTTTTTAAAGATATACAAATGGTATTTGGGGAGCTTAATGGACCTCCTCTGGCTCACACAGCCAGCTGGTGAGCAGGTTTTTCCTCTTCATGATCAATGCTCTTTCTGTTGCTCAACATCTTAGGCTATACGTTTATTGTTAAAACGTTTTTAAACTTAAAAACAAGATCCTTTTTATGCATACAACAATTTGTGTTGATCAGTAATTAGAACCAAAAGGTTCGAATTACTCATTACGTGTCACTCTTTATATAAATGGTTCACCAACTAATGAGCCAAAGAAAAAACACTAAAGCCTAGAAACATTAAAAATAGATGTGGTTAAATGTTTTTCCTTATACACTTAAATTTTAGGTAGTTTAAGAAAGGGCCCAATGGAAACATGGGAAAACTGTGAGGCAACTTCTAGATAAAACTATTTAAAAAGCTAATTTTCCTTAAATTTCTTTAGTTGTTTCAACTTGCATTATGTTAAATGTATTTTTTCCATTTTAAGAAAAACAAATTAAATAGAAAAACTATTTTTTATATTTATAAACTATAAAATGATAAGTATATACAACAAAAAATAAGATAATAAAAGAATCAAGGTTTTGCAGTGTCTATTGCTTTCTTTTGAAACATATGCAAAAAAAGGAAATGAAGACATTATCACCCCCAGAGATTGAAATGTATCATTTGACATAGGTCAGTGCATAGGGTATATAAACAATTACGTAGCTCACTGTAGTTCTGTTTGCATAATAGTTTATTATATACTTAGGAATTATATAATTGGGACAGCTAGTTTTCTTCTCTAATGTTAATGACTAATATCTGAGTTAGAAATTGAAAGGAGATTTTTATATACTAGGGATTATTTTAATTTTTAACCATTTAGATTTTTTTCAGTTGACTTTAATAGCATATTAAATGTTATTACATATGAATTACAGAAGCATAAAAATATTACACTTGTTCTCATTCATAGACTGCACTTTACACACTTTCCTTTTAATAAAAATGTAATATCTTAAAATGTTCAATTATGAGTAAAAATAAATTATGTTGCAATTTTCATTTAAACAGCTGAGACGGACTCTCTAAGGAATAAGGGATTATGGCATTACTCTATTTAAAGTAGTAGTGATGCATATTGATGCCCCACTACTATTCCTATTAACTGCTCCTCACAGTGACATGAATTTAGTGCCTGTGCTATTTCCTTCTCTCCCAGCTAAACTCACCTTCAGAAATGCTTACTGAATCAGCAAGCGCAAATATTTAATCACAGTAATCTCAACTTGATTCATCATGCAGTAGGACAGACTCACCGTATCAGAATCTGTGTCCTCATACTGTTCCTCATTTTCCACAGGGCTAAAAATTGATCCAGATGGTAATTCTCTTTCACATATAATTTCCATGGTTTTCAGAATAAATTGCACATTTGAAAAAATGTTTGGATACTTGTAATATGATTCTTCAGAGAAATAAAGTGCTATTGTAAGAATACAAATTTGTGAGAAATACTTCACTAATATCTTGCAGAGTGTTTCATTTGTCTTTTAGTTATTAAAATATAATTAAATTCACTACTTCAATGCTGAAACTGCAGCCCGGTTCCCCAAGATTTATAATGTTATGTATGCCCCCTTGTGGTGGAACAGAAAACTGCAAGGCAAATAATTCACACATGAACGTTTGTATAACTCAGAGCAGCAACCACATAATGGGCAAATGCCCAATTAAGAATAGTTACTGCACAACAATGCTTGGAAACTTTCAGCTGAAAAGAAATGAAGTTATAGTAGATAACATATTTATAATGGATACTTTAAAATTGTAATCCTAGAAACAGACTAATGTCATTGCTTTTAACCCAACATTCTCCATTTTTATTCCTTTTCAAGATGCTATTAATTTTTTAAAGTATATATTTTAAATAGCAACAATTATGTCATTTAACATAAGACTATGTGATATTTAGCAGAACCACCTTTGTGCTTTTTTTAAATAAACTTTTAGACTATCTTAGAGTTTCAGTTCATTGACAGCACAGAAAAATTCATAATAACCAATCATTTACTGGATTGCTATATGGATAGGTGGTGTTTGCTAATAGCTTCAGGTAGAAATCATCCTGTTGTTGAAGACAGAGATATAGCCTAAGTAAGGCTGTATTTAACATATTTGATAAAAGGGCAAAATCTGGGGATTTTATCTTTATATGAAACGAAGATGTTGGCTTTCTTGGGGTATATCCACAATAACAGGCTAAAGTGAGAACTTCAGGTTTTATTCAAATAAGTTTTCAAAATTTACTTGCCACCATCATCTGAATATTTGATGACTCACTATGCTGAACACTGTAAGGAATTAAAGATGGGATTTATAATATAATGATGAAATCAAAACAAGAAATATGAAAAGCATGCATTCCCATTCTGCCAGCTACAGCCTTGCCTTGGTTTCATACCTATCAGAACCTGCGGCAGTGATGCGCGTTGGTCAATCTCCAAAACACTTCCACCATCACCTTCTGTTCCCTCCTCCATGACTTCCCAGCAAAAACTATTCCATTTCTTGTATCTTGAGTCTCTTCATCTCTTATCCTACAATATACTAATCTTCTCTTCTTTTGACCTTGTTTTCCTTTCATCCAAACTACTGACATATTTCTCCTTTCATGCAGGGGTGGGGAACCTTTTTTCTGCCAAGGGCCATTTGGATATTTATAACATCATTCGAGGGCCATACAAAATTATCAACTTAAAAATTAGCTATTTAAAAAGCTCCTAGACTTATTGAATTTTGAGACCCGCCTGCAGTTGCCTTGGCAGGGCCAGGCAAATGATTTTGCTGCCATATGTGGCCTGTGGGCCCGACGTTCCGCACCTCTGCCATAGCTAAGCTTTTTAAAATAGTTCACCATCTCTGTCTTACACTTAAATTTTCCCTTCACTCTTTGTTTACATTCAATCTGAATGTTGCTTTCGCCTCTCCACTCAGGATGCTCCCAAGATCAACAGCGACCTTCTGGTTGCAGAAACCCATCATCACTTTCAGTCCTCCTACAAATATATTTAATACTTCTACAGCCCTTGATAATGTTGATCTTCTCGAACCTTCCCACTTTGAATTTCTATGCCATCACTCCTTCCTATTTCCCTCAACTTTCCATTACTGATGTTTGTTACTCCAGTAACCTATTACTGAATCTATTCCTAGAATTAATTTACAGGCACCACTATCTCCTACCCTCAGGTTGTCTCAGCCTCGTTAACACGGAAGACTGTCAATCCATCCGTGCTAATATCTGAAATAAGTGAATCCCAGGCTTTGCTTATTTCTCTAGTTCCAAACCTGTGTTTCCAGCTGCTAGCTCAGTATATGTTCCTAAGTAACTTTCAAATTCAGTAACTCCAATGTTTCTCCAAAATTTTCTCCATTCAAGACACCATTATCTTGAACCTTTTAATCAACAAGTAGAACTTCAGGTTCCTCTTGAATTCCTCACTTTCCCTTATGTATAGCCTAGATCCAACCCATCGCTAAGTCCAGTGTCTTTCAAGGCTACCTGAGTCTATCCTATTTTCATGTTAATTGTTACATATTCAACATCTCTTGTACATACTGATGTCATAGCTAATTGACTTCTTCGTCCAGTCTCTCCTTACTCCAGTCCAGCACCTCCAGCACCACTAAAATATAAAATTAACTTCCTTGAAGTCTAGAGAGGTAGATACTATTACATGTGAGGAAACTGAGTCATACAAGGGAATAGAAGTAGTTAAGTAGAAAAGTTAAAAGTGAAAGCCCACGCAATCTGGTCTAGAAGCTGGGCTCTTCAATATGGTGCCTATCATCTTTCATAAAAAATGAAGCACAGCTTATGCTCTTTATAGTTATAGCCCAAGCTTCTCAAAGTATAACATAAAACATTCATAAGTATAGAAAGTAAAAAATAGTCTACCGTATAAATATGGTTGAAGCCTAAGTAAATGTTGTTGAGAGCCTTCTAGGTGACCATGCAGGAAATATATAAAAAGTCTTAAGAAGATCAAATAGCCAATCTGTCAAAAGAGAAAGGAAAAGGCATTTTTGTGTTGCATCAATAAATGTTTAAAAACCATAAAGAAAATAAACCATTTTCTTATTACATTTGCTTCTGATGGAACAATTTCAAACTCTTGAGATTGTGTGCTTTTGAAATAATTCTAAAACATTTATATCAAGGCTGAAATACTGGTTCAGCCAAAAAAAAAAACATTTATAAATCATCTCTACATTATGTATAATGACCAATACTGAATGATATTTTGTTCTGTGTCCTTTAGAACAGTATTTTTCAAATTGCAAGCCATGTCCTTTAAGTGAGTCATGAAATCAACTGAGAGGGTATTTTAAAATAAAATAAAATAAAATAAAAGAGAAAAGAAAATATCATAGTACATTGCACAGCTCCTGTTTCACTTATATATAAACGAGTGTGTATTAATATGCACGCTGGATTGCAATCCAAAAGATATTTCTTCCTATTGGTCACAGTCAAAACAGTTAGAAAAACATTGTTCTAGAAAGTTTTGAGAAATATTCTGCCTGTGCATAGTATTCTGTGCTAAGATCCCCCATTCCCTCATGAACAAACAAGTCATTACTAAATAAAGGTAATAACTTACTTCTGTGACAGTTAAAATACATGTATAGCTAAAATAGTTTTTTCACATAGATGAGAAAACAGAATGTCTTCAAAATCATGTAATAGACAAGATTTCACAGAAAACGACCCAGAAAACCCCACAAAGTATCGAAATAAAGAGAACACAAGAGCCTAAGTTGCCAAATAATAAGATTATGGAGAACCAGATAATAATAACTATCATTATATCACTATCAAACGATATGTGTATCCAAATCACCTCAACAACAACACAGGGAATTATTAGATCTACATGTAAAAAAAAATAAAATTTCTAAAAATGATTATACCCACTCTCAGTGATTCACCCATAACTATTAAACAAATAAGTGGCATTATTAGACTTTGAACCCAGAACAGTGTGTATTGCACCAAAAGTCATCAATTGCCTATTACAGCAGTGATTTTTCCACATATTTTTATCACAAACTTCTATCAGTAAAATAAATTCTGAGAATGCATCAATATTTGTAAGTGTATCCAAAAATGAAAAACATACACCATTTATAAACTCATAAAAATAAATAAAAATGAAATGTTTATAAGGCATGTCCAAGCAATCTCCTCATACAGATCATTTCAATATAGTGCTGTACCTCTCTATGAGATTTAAGTGGAAAACTAGTGAAAAGAATATAATTTAGGATTTTGAAAAGGATTAAAGATTGATATTGAAATAAATTATAATTAACATTTTAAAATTTAATGTGAGGAAAAGAGAAGCATATCGGCCTGAATAATCACTCTATATTACACCCCAATTCGGTCATGAGTTTTACCTGACCTAGAGGATGTCCCTAGTAATAGCTATGCTGGGGAAAACAGTTTTAAAAACTCTCCTTTATAATATTCTGAAAAGCCAGGTTTTCTCTGAGAAATCGGCCTTTGTATATCTCTAAGGAATTCAGGAACATCCTGTGCATCTTGCCTCGTGTCTCATTTGTGTGCATCGTCTCTGTCGCTTGACAACTCAAGCTTTGCCTCCTAGATTAAGTCCCTGCTTGTCAATTTCTCTTTCTCTGCTCCCCCATCTTTCCTGCCTTTACCCCCCTTCTTTCCTTCTCTTTCCATGTCTTCTCGTCTAGCCTTCCTTTTCTTTCTTTACAATAAAACCATAAAACCACTAGTTAAGGTAAGTGTCTTTGACTAATAATAAATTTTGTAGCAGGCAACACGATCATCACAGGGAGCAGAACCACATGACGTCAGTCCAGCTTATAAAACGTGATCTACTGGAAGATGATTTCCCATCTAATGGCTCTAAAATGACTGGAAATGCTGAGAACAACTAATCTTCTCAAAATGAGCAAACATTTGAAAACTGAGCAAGCAGTGAAGGTTATCTGTTGGCATTTTAAAATGGAAAAGTGGCATTTTTAAAAGCCTTAAAATAGAGAGGAGAGAAGCTATAAATACTCAGATATAAGGACAAACTTGATCTTTAGTTGAATATTATTTTCTTACATAGTTGGTGATATATTTTCTCAAACTATCTCTGTTTGGATATCAAGCAATAATGTATTACCCACATTTAGAGAAGATTGAGCTAAACTGCCAAATAAGAGAATATTCTATAATAAAACCAAATGCATTTAGATCCTAAAACAGATGTCCTGTGGCTACACATAGTACATGTAGCAATTAAAACACATTTAAAACATACCTTTGCCAGCTTTATTTCAAGTGAATATAAGTAAGGCTTTAGGAAAGCATCACAACAGAGTCTATATAAAACCGATTCCCCAAGAAAAAACAAGACAGGTAGATGATCATAATCGAAGGCAGCATGGTCCAAGGAAGCATAAAGCATATTTAAAGCTTCTGAAAAATCAAAACGTGGAAACTCAGTAATTGATAAATTATGCTTTTTTTCTGCATGCTACAATTAAGTCTTACAATGAATTATTTGCTCAGTCACAAGACCAGGTTGTAGTTTTTAAATATTTACAAATTCTTTGACAGCTCTCCGATCAAGAGGTGAAGATTATGTCCCCTTCCCTTTGAGCCTGATCAAGACTTGTGACTGCTTCAACCAATAGACTGTGGCAGAAGTGACAGTGCTTGGCTTGCAAGGCTGGACCCGCAACCACCTGGGTCCTTCTTTCAAGAGGGGAGCTTTGGAACCCTAAGCAGCCACGGGGAAAGTCCAGCTACTCAGAAGTCACCAAGCTGGAAAGACTATAGAGACAGAGATGATTAGGGGTGTGTGTGTGTGTGTGTGTGTGTGTGTGTGTGTGTGTGTGTGTGTGTGAGAGAGAGAGAGAGACAGAGAGACAGAGAGACAGAGACAGAGACAGAGACAAAGAGAGAAAGGGAGGCAGGAGAGAGGGAAAGGCCAGTCCTCTTCTGAATCACATGGCCACAGGATACCTGAACAAAACTGAGGTTTAACTGACAAAGGAGAGTGAGTGGCTGCTGGTTGCTGGTAAGCCAGGAGCGTTTACTTCCGTATCATTTAAACTTTTTTTTTTATATTACAGATGTCCCTTTTTCTCCCCAATGACCTGTTCCACCCCTTCCTACCCCCCTCCCCAGTTCCCCCTCCCCACCATTGT